AGAGAACATTACATTTACTTATTTCTTTTATATTACTTTCTATTTGCCAATTACTTGTACAAACATTGAAATAGCTACAGATTTAATTTGTATATCCAACCACATTGAAATAAGGCTGCCTGAGTAGTTTTACACCACATTTGTAAACTAAGATTTCCTGAAGTGTTTCATTTGTCCTAATAAAATAAATCAGGGATTAAGAGCAATGATACGGTACACATTTCTACAGCTGAAGGAAATGAGACTGGGCAGCCCTAAGTGTCTTGCACGTGCTCATATCGTAGGTGGCAGAGCCCGGTCTCAAGCTCTGGTTTTCTGCTTCACATCAAATATTCTCTCCACAGTGCTGTCTCTTTTACTTGGTCTTTTCTACATAATTAGAAACACTCCAATGTGTTTCCTCACTTGCCCAGAAAATTTTCTTAATTGCTACCTTTGCCTATTATTTTAGTAGGAAATTATTTCTTATAAAATTCACATGTGGCTTTTGATTTTATGGCATCCTTTTCCTGGAGGTTCAAATAATAAATGTATGCTTGAAGAGTAAATTCTTACCACAGCCCTGTGTGTGGGGAAGCAGAAATGATGAGTCTCCTGTGATATAAATCAACATTCTAATCGTTAAAAAATAGATGCACTCACTCATAAGTGTCACAGAACATTCCAAACTGAGTAGGAAGGAATATCTGAGTGGCAGTGATAAGAGCCAAGCCTGGAGAGGAAGCACGACAGCCCATTACAAGCTATTGAAAAGTTCCATGAAAAAAAAAAAAAAATGACATACAGCAGGAAATTCCTGACCAGTAGTGTAATCTCTTACATAAATGTGTTGGCAGATAAATGGATTTTTATGATTTTGTTTACACCCACTTTTTTTTAATGTGTCACTTTAGATGTGACACTTTTTAGACACTTTTTTAGATGTGTCACTTTGTATTGTAACTTCACTCTAACTCTTGTTTAATGGCCTGATTCAATAAATTATAAGTTCATCTTAATCCCCTCAAAATACTCTTGGCCCTTTGCCTCAAAGTGGGGGAAGACGTTAGTAACTAAAATACCAAAAGAAACTTGCTGTAAGTTAATTCCTGGAAAAGTATTATATGGAGGATTCAACATAGTAATACCCTAATTTGCTATTATCGTATATGGGAATTAGGCAGTGGAAACTTTAATATGCTGATGAAGGCCATAGCTATAGAACTATAAACATGGCACTGAGAGTAAAGAGCTAAAAAGTAAATGAAATAAATATGTACCGAAACCAGGCATATGTTAAATACTGACCTAGATGTTTTACTTACATTTTCTCATTTCATTTTTATAGCAACACTGCAAAATGACTATTATGCTCATTCCATCGAAGCATAATAGAAGTTTCTAGAAGATGTAGTTATATAATCCATGCCCTCCCCCCTCCAAGGCAGACCTAGATTTAGTAATTCCTGGCTCTGCCACTTTCTGCCCACGCAACCCTGGGCCAAGTGTGAGCTTTACTTTCCTCACTTGTAAAATGAGTGATGATACCTACCTCACCACCTCACAAGTTTACTGCGAATACACTTAATAAACTGCAAAACAAAACACATTGGCGATTTCTACTATTAACGCAAACAAATAGTTAAACTAATAAGAGAAAAGGATGGGAATTGATTTCCAAATTATTTTCTCGTACACTTTGTTTTCAAATGCCTGATTACACAATACTGAGCTGTGTTTTCCAGGCAAGGTCTTTCTGGTTGAGCGTCAATGAATCATTTCCTTCATATTCAAATGAAAGATATGCCTGGGTAGGTCAAGTTCCACCCTGCTTTATCTTAACAATTCCTTCATTGCAGGTAAGCAAACAATTGGGATTGTTAAGAATTTCACTCCTAGGAGTCTAAGATTCCCTCTCTGCAGTTATTTCCAGCACAAAAGACGGAGACTGTAGGGTCATTGACCTACTGACACTGACACCATGATAAGCTCTATGCCAGTAAAGTGAGAGGCAAGAGAAGTAATTCCAGTATTTCCCATTTTTCTTGTCAACTAAACTCAGTTTGCAAATGAAATCTCATGTGGCTCTACAACATAAGCAACAGATAATAAAAGCAATATGTTATTAGAATATTTCATTGGTTCAAATTTGTTACATGTTTTTTTTGTTGTTGTTTTGTTTTTTTTTGCGGTACGCGGGCCTCTCACTGTTGTGGCCTCTCCCGTTGTGGAGCACAGGCTCCGGACGCGCAGGCTCAGCGGCCATGGCTCGCGGGCCCAGCCACTCCGCGGCATGTGGGATCCTCCCGGACCGGGGTACGAACCCGTGTCCCCTGCATCGGCAGGAGGACTCTCAACCACTGCGCCACCAGGGAAGCCCTGTTACATGTTTTTATTATAAGATTAATAAATGAAAATGGTGAATTTTAAGGAACACAAAAAAATTGAAATTGGTGTTTATTCATGATAGTGATACAAATCTTAACTTTAGTATCTCAAAATTTCATTTTGTTGTTTTGTTTTCACTAAATTGAGATAAGTCTGATTCATAGGCAATTGCAAGTGAGAACAGTTTTTGTTGGTTGGTTGTTGGTTTTGTTTTTGTGGTGACTGTAAGTTTGGATGTTTTGTTTTGTCTTCATATTTAACAGTTTATATTGCTTTTCAATTAAGTAGTTAGCCAGAAAGACTTTATTTGAAAATGTGCACAGAAATAAGTTGTCACTAGCCATACAACTTAACATCACCATAATTTAATATTGTTCTGAAAGTATGTATAGATAAAATATTTGTTTAGCTGGAGAACTCAAGAGAATCACCTGAAAAACTATTACAAACAACGAAGACTCCAGTATGATGAAAAACATAATATGGAAAAATCAATAGTCTTCATACATACAAACAACATCCGGAAGATCTAGTAGAAGAAATCACTCTATTTACCAAAAAAAAACCCCAAAAAGGTTAAAATTCCTCAAGATAAACTCGATAGTTATTTTTTAAAAGACTCAAACAAATGGAAAGACATATCATGTTTTTGGTTTAAAAGACTCAGCATCTTAAGATGTCAATTCTTTCAGAAGTTAATTTATGAATATTGGGCCTCCCACTCCCAAAATTGTTAGTAGGATTTTTTTCAAACTAGGCAAGTTGATTTTTAAGTTCCTATATAAAACTAAATAAGCAATAAGAGCCAGGAAAAAGCATCTAGGGAAAAATAAAAAGAAGAATGAGGAAGGATTGATCATACCAGTTATTAAAACTGATGGGAGAGATGGACGGAAGGGATGGAGGAAGGGATGGAGGAAGGGATGGAGGGAGAAAGGCAAACATATAATTGTCAGGGTCTGCCCTGAACATCTCAGAAGAAACTGGCTATATTGGTTGGCTCTGTGGAACAGAATTAGATGCCTTTTGTACCAGTTTTAAATTATATATTAGATGCATGTATAACCCATTCAAAAACTTTAAAATAAAATAATTTTAATACATAGACATTATTTGAGTAAATGAAGACTGTAATTATCTGCTCTATAAAGTTAAGGGAAGCATATATCAATTGCAATTAAATATCTGGTATCCATTTACGTGTATTAGATTTACAGCCTTAATCTGTGATTAGCTATACCGCTGAACAGAAAATAGTTTATAATGTGGTATATTTTGAAAACTTCATCCTAGAATCTAGGACACTCAAATCTTCCAAAACCATTTGACGTTAAGCCATAATATTCAATATAGTCATTTTTTTTAAAAGGAAAGAAAGAAACCAGTTTCTACAGCTGCTACCTTGGAAATAGCTTAAAATACAATTTTTAATACAAATATCAATATGTTACTTTCCCCCTCCTTTCTTCTTCACCGGTATAGAAAAGTCTTGTTATAAACTTAATGGAATAAATAAGCAATTATCAAATAAATACTTCTTAGTCTTAAATTTCAGCAGAATTCCAATGATACTAGCAGGCATAAAATCTCAAACCCTTAACATTATCCCTGGTACACAGAAGCACTCAAGGAATATTTGTTGAATAAACACTAACTACTAGAAATAATAAGCTATCTTTTGAAATCCTAATGCCATTAAGTGGATTTTTAAATTATGCTAATTGGGATTTTTAAAAAGGTAATTGATATCTTTTAAACTCAATTTTGAAAAGTCAAAATCATAGGAATTAGGGTCAAAATGGTTTCAATAGAAAAGTAACCAGAAAAGAAAACAGTGTCCTTATTTTCAATAAATATAGCAAAAGTATTCTAATTGTTCTCCTATGGTCACTTGGTCATGCAAGCTCCCCAAAATGTATTATTATAAAAAGAGACATTATTCCTTGCAGCATTATAATAGTAATAGCAAGAGTCTGAAAACAATCTAAGTATTCATCAGTAGAGGACTGGTTTTGAACAAACTCTGATACATTTATGTAATGGAATTACTATGTAGCTATTCTAAAGAAGAAAGCAGGTCTCTGTATGCTGGTGTGGAACAACAAGATATCCTGTTAACTTTTTAAAAAGCACAGAGCTGAAGGAGGAGGGGGGAGCCCACCTTACACTCGCTCTCAAGTCAGTAAGGCTGGAATTGCACAGTCCAAAGGTCCCTGGAAGACCCCTTGGAGCAATGTCAGTTTGGGGGCTCACAAAACCTCTCTTGGTAAATCCTGCACAGAGCAAGTGTTTCCTATGGCATTGAAAGGCATTTTTAGTTCTTCAGTTGCACATCAGATGAAGCTGGCTATCAGTTAGGGGCCATGTTGCGTGACAGATACAGTCTTAAAAGCCAACCCCTCTAGGATATTATAGCGAAAGTGCAAGCAACAGAAGCAAAAATAAACAAGTGGGACTACATCAAACTAAAAAGTTCCTGCACAGCAAAAGAAGCAGCCAGCAAAATGAAAAGGCAACTTATGGAATGGGAGAAAATATTTGCAAACCATCTATCTGATAAGGGTTAATACCCAAAACATGTAAGGAACTCATACAACTCAATAGCGAAAAAAATCAAACAATCCAATGAAAAGATAGGCAGAGGACTTGAATAGACATTTTCCCAAAGAAGACATACAAATGGCTAACAGGTACATGAAAATATGCTGATTGCTTTTTTGTAACTATTTACTTGTAACTCTCCCTTTGTCTCTATATTTTTAATTCCTAAGATAGTAATTTGCAATTGATGTTTATGTTTGACTGTGCTTTTGAATAACTTACACAAACTTCCTGACTGCATTAGATTTGGAGCATTAGATCTATCAAAATAAAAATAATAAACTAGATTTAGGGAATATTTGAAAAAAAAAAAAAAAAGCCAACCTCTCCCCAGCCATAAAAGAGAAGGAAATTTTGCAACATGGATGAAACTTGAGGGCATCGCACTAAGTGAAACGAGCCAATCAATCACAGAAGGACAAATACAGCATGATTCCATTTCTATGAGGTATCTAAAATAGTCAAACTCAGAGAATAGAATGGAAGTTCCAGGGCATGGGGGAAGGGGAAAGGAGAAGTTGCTTATCACCAGGTATAAATTTTCAGTAATGTACGGCGACCAAGTTCAGGACTGTGCCTACCGTTAACAATACTGTATTGCCCACTTTCAAATCTGTTAAGAGGGTAAATGTCATGTTAAGTGTTGTTGCCATAGTATAATAAAAATAAAAGGCAGCCTCACCCTGGGTGCAGGCTGTGCAGGTGCTGAGAGTGAGTCCAGCGGAAGGAACAGGGGTGGATGTGTCCATTTCCTGCTCAGGCATTGAGTGGAATGGCAGGTGAGATCACCAGCACTGATTCCTCCTGCTTTAGTTTCTTTTGTTTGGGTATTATCATTGTTGTTATTGTTGTTGTTTTTCCAAGTATATGCAGTGGACTTTTTTTTTCACTTCAGATATATACAGTTGATTTGAGTCACATTCACTTATGGCATACCTCCTCTGCAAAATTCTCCCACTTGTGTAAAATAATTATATAAGAGTATACATACCCACATATATAGACTATCTGCAGGGACACTCAAGAAACTAGGAATACAGGTTACCTTTGCCAAGGAGGACAGCGGACTTGGAGAACTGGAGTCAGGAGGACACTTTTAAGTCTGAAATATGTTTGTATTCTTCGAAGGTTTTACCATGTATCGCATTACTTTAAAAAAAATACAAGTGAAAATACTGTTTAAAAATGCACAAAATATCTAATGGTTTAAGAAGATTTAACTGTAAACTGAAGACCTATTAACTTCTGCTCATAATGACTTACTCCTTCTCTACCCCAATTCTTAACTCTCGGGGACTCACAGGATCTTTAAAAGTTTGATAAAACTAAAACCCTTCCCCCCAGTGGAATACCGATAGACACATACATATACACCCATGAATTCCCTGAACCCTCTGTTTAACGTTGTTACACTACATCAACACTTATCTGTGAGATTCTTGCCAAAAAATGTTTAACCTGAATCTATTCATGAAGATATAAGCAGATAAATCCAACATAAGGAATATTCTCCAATATAACCCCCTTAAATTCTTCAAAAATCCAATGTCATGGAACAAAGCAAAACAAAAATAGAAATCCCAAGAGACCAAGAGACACAACAACTAAACGCAATGTGTGAACCTTGATCGAATCATGAACTGGGGAGGAAAAGAAATCTACAAAAGACATATTTGGGACAACTAGGGAAATGTGAATATGGGTTCTATATTAGATGACATTATGGGATTATTGTTTAAGGGTGTGATCATGCCCGTAAACAACTGAGGGGTGAAATGTCCTGTCTGCAACTCACTCTATAGTTCAAAACTACTGCACACAGTGCAAATGAATGTGACCAAATGTTAACCATTGTTAAATCCATGTAAAGGGTATATGGGAACTCATACTATTTTTCTAAATTTTCTATGAGTACGAAAGTTTTCAATAGAAAAAGTTCCCTTCGCTCTCCTATAATTATAACACAGCGCCACCACCAAGTTTCCCCCTTCTTCCTATTTGCCCATTTGCTTTCCATCCCCACCTGTCTTGCCAAAATAGATTGTTGGTAGAGTTCAAGAAATCTAGCACCTGATTCATTTCTTCCAAAAATATTATGAAGCACAGGCAGTGTCTCAACCTCAGCCCAGGCTGCCTTTGTCTTTGTCTCTCTTGGCTACGCTAGGAGGAACTGTGCTGTTATCATCTTTATAACCCCAGTGTTATATACACAGTAAGGGGAAGCAATAAACATTTATTGAACGGAGCCTTTGGACTAGTTCACTGATCTTTAGTACCTATTGTGTTACTCCTTAGCAAAGCGGATAACAGATTTCATGGGAGGATGAAACAGATGCTGAAACCAAATCGCTAAAATGAAATTCTAGGGCTGCCTCTCCCACGAGTATGGATCAAAAGAGCCTAGCTTATAGTAGCTCCGTGCCACATTAGCAAGAGTATAGAAATACAAAGCACGCCCCAAGAAGAATAAAGTTAAGGTTTTTGCACTGCCATCTGTGCAAGCTGCTGGCTTTACCCGACTTCCACCTGTTAGCTTTTTATTCTCTAATACTGTGCTGACAGCATTTTTTGTGATGATGGAGCTGCAGAGCCCGTCACTGGCAACATAAGCACCATCTTACTTTAGAGTAAATAAAACTATTTCAAGCAAATTGGAAACTAAGTGACAGAAAGTGACACAGATGGAAGACACTAGGAACAGGAGGGGAAGGCTGCATTGCTCATCGTCCCTGCGGTCCAGGATGGAGTCGACTCTGAACTGCTGGCAGTGGACCCCAGCTGCCTATAGCCAGGTGTACGCAGAACAAGCCAACTAAATCGTATTCATCTTTGGGAAGAAGAAGAAGCTCCTGTACTCTCCGTTACATCTAGAATCAAATCTATCCATTGCAATTGGTGTTTCACTTTTTAAAATATGTTTCTTCTTAACTTTACTCATCGCCCATTATTTTTCCTTCTCTCTTTTCCTGTACCTTCCTTTCTCTTCAGAGAAGTCTCTAGAAAGAAAACACATGGCCCTCAGCCATGGACCTGGGAGATCAGAGAGTCAGATTTACCATCTCCAGCTCCCTGCTAATACCAGAAACCTCGATCTGGCTAAAGGAAGAAAAATAGTGACAAACGTGTCACCGGCTAAGTCATTTCAGCCCCCACCTCTTTCTGATTTGAAATACATTATCTTGATTAAGCTTTAAAAATAAACAAATAAATGAAGACATCGGTAGTTGGAGTAATGGCAGAGCACATTGGCCCAGGACAGGCATTGGGAACTGGGAGAAATAATTGGTGATGTAAAACATGTTCCATATCCTAGCCTCTTTTTCATCTTCAGGTCTTTCTGCATCTTTCTGCCCTCTCCCTTCTTTTCCCTCTACCTTTGACCCCCTCCACATCCTATACCAGTGTCAATTAATGACTGCCAAAAGCACCCGACTTGCTAAAATTATTTCTGTCTTGTGGAACCAAGACTACGAGTTCCCTTCTCCTTTTCACTCATTTGTCAGCAAGAAGGTTAAGCTCAAATTAGTCCACAGCAATCCACTATCTATGTGCTCTGATGTTTACCAAGCAGTGCTCTGTCCCAGGTACAAACAAGCATCAGGAAGCTTCATCCTTGTCTGCAAGAAGCCTCTGCTCCAGCAGAAGAAAGCAAACGTGCCAACAGCTAAGTCTAATGCAACGGAGGATCGCAGAGGGAAAAGCGATTAAATACCAATGAATGGCGAGTTCGCCAACCCCTACCAGGAGATTATACTACAGAAAATTTATTTTCTAAGAACATTTAAGTAGACAAGAGTGCAAAATAAAGATCTATTGGATGCCACACAAAGAGATCTTCAACCTTAAAAAGCATCTCTCCTCCCAAATTTTTGCTAGCGGTGGGGTGTTGCACACTATGAATGCTTATTCTTTAGAAGAGAAGGAACTACATAGATAGAAGACTGGAGTAACTGCTTATAATGTTATGTTTCTACCTGTGGTGGTGACTCTTAGTCAAGAAGAGCACTTACTGTGCCTTACCCACAAGATGCTACAAATAAAGCTGAGTAAGTTGTCTAGGGTTGCACAGACAATCGAAGCACCCAGGTCACTTAGGGGAGAAATATCTCACTGGTAGGTTTTCCCCTTTCCCTTCTTTTAGTTATCCAGGGAATTAAGCGAGTTCAGAGAAAGTGGACCTCGTGAGTGACCTAACGAAACATTTTTCTAGAGTCAGGCAGCCATGACACATGGAAAGGGCAATACTGTTGGGAGAAGGCAGGAACACAGCAGAGAAAAGAGTGCCAGTTAGGGGCAGCAATCTGATATCCCTGAGGCCCGACTATAAATAACTGCTTTTCCCCAGCTCCCTATCACCGCTTCCCAAAGTGAGAGCTAGACTCCTGGCCAAAGGCTAAACATCGTCCCACTCACTCCTTTCCCACAAAGCAACATTTCCTAACGCAACATGCTGGTGGGCCGTCGACCAGCAGAGGGTCGGGAGTCAGGCGCCTCCTTGTTGGATTCCTGCCCTCCATTTCCCAGCTTTTTGAATCTCTGAGCCACGCTTCTTCATCTGAAAAATGGTACAACGGTGATGATGATGATAACTAGCAACTATAAAATAGGCACTGTGCTAAGTGCTTTAATGCATTATTCATTTAATCTTCAGAAAAAATGTCAGGGCAGTGTTCATTATTATTAGAAGTAATAATAATACTTCCTCCTTTACAGATGAAGAATCGCAATTCTGAGAGGAGTTAGTTAACTTACCCAAGGTCTAACCGCCCTGCCTGTGCTTATAAGACCTGTCTAAACAGGGTAGTGGGGACTTCCCTGGTGGCGCAGTGGTTAAGAATCTGCCTGCCAATGCAGGGAACATGGGTTCGAGCCCTGGTCCATGAAGATCCCACATGCCGCAGAGCAGCTAAGCCTGCGAGCCACAAGTACCGAGCCTGCGTGCCACAACTACTGAAGCCCACGTGCCTAGAGCCCGTGCTCCGCAACAAGAGAAGCCACCTCAATGAGAAGCCTGCACACCACAATGAAGAGTAGCCCCTGCTCACCGCAACTAGAGAAAGCCCGCACGCAACAAAGACCCAAGGCAGCCAAAAATTAATTAATGAATTAATAAACAGGGTATTGATTTGTATGCCCACCAGTGAATGCTACTGTCATTATTTTTGATGCTGTTACTTTTGATGGTGATACTGTTTTTGTTGCTTTTCTCTCTCCCTAGACGCTGGGAGTTCTGAGGTCTATCAAGCACAAATCATTAGCACAAATCACTGGCAAGTCTAAACCAAGGCCTTGGGGACATTTTTTGAGCACCAGATAACAAAACTAATATACTTTTAGATGTTTCATTGTTAAAATATACCTGTTGAGTATGAATGAGAGATCAAGAAGCAAGGAATGGGATTCAGTACTAGTATTTCGACTTCTTACCAAAAAGCGTCCCTTGGGCTTCTCTGGTGGAGCAGTGGTTGAGAGTCTGCCTGCCGATGCAGGGGACACGGGTTCGTGCCCCAGTCTGGGAGGATCCCACATGCCGCGGAGTGGCTGGGCCCGTGAGCCATGGCCGCTGAGCCTGCGCGTCCGGAGCCTGTGCTCCGCAACGGGAGAGGCTGGGACGGTGAGAGGCCTGCATACCGCAAAAAATAAATAAATAAATAAAATATGACACAATGGACTTATCTATGAAACAGAAACAGACTCACAGACATAGAGAAC